AGAGAAATCGATTAAGCGGTGACTGTCTGTCCGTCCGTCCGTCCGTCCGTCTGTGCACACGATAACTCGAGTAAAAATTGAGATATCTTAATGAAACTTGGTACGTGAACTTCTTTTGGGCGTAGGACGGATGGTATTGAAAATGGGCGAAATCGGACAATAACCACGCCTACCTCCCATATAACGGTAATTTTCAGAAATACGAAAACTGCGATATTTTAGTAACTACTGAAGAGTATTCACTCAAAATTGATATTTACAATGAGTTTTAGACGAAAAATAAGAATATTTTAAAATTTTGGCAAATGGGCGTAGCCACGCCCACTTATGGTTACATGTGTATATCTTGGTAACCGCTGCACCAATTTCTTCCAACCTCGGCACAGTTGTTGGCCTTGATACATCATACTAAATGGCCGAAAATTTAAAAAATCGGACAATAACCACGCCTACCTCCCATATAACGGTAATTTTCTGAAATACGAAAACTGCGATATTTTAGTAACTACTGAAGATAATTCACTCAAAGGTGATATTTACAATGAGTTTTAGACGAAAAATAAGAATATTTTAAAATTTTGGCAAATGGGCGTAGCCACGCCCACTTATGGTTACATGTGTATATCTTGGTAACCGCTGCACAAATTTCTTCCAAACTTGGCACAGTTGTTCGTCCTGGTACAGCATACCAAATGGCCGAAACTTTTTAAAATCGGACAATAACCACGCCCACATTCCATATAACGGTAATTTCGAGAAATACAAAATCTTCGATAAATCAGTAAATATCAAAGCTAATTTATTCAAAATTGATGGTTGCAACAATTCTTTACCAAGAAATACGTTTATGATAAAATTTTGGAAAATGGGCGTGGCACCGCCCACTTGTGATTACATATATGTATCTCGCTAACCGTTCTAGCAATTTGTACCAAACTCGGTATGGTTATTGTGCTTGCCACATAAAAGCAAACCGTTGAAAATTGTTGAAATCGGTCTTAAATTACGGCCGCTTTTCATATAACAATAAATTTCAGAAATGCTTGAAATTTCAATATGTCGAAATTTAAGGACGCTAATTTACTTAAAATGTATACACCCCGGCTTATCATGTAGCGGTAGCTTTCGGCAAGGTGGAAAACATATCTTTAATACTTGCGCCGGGTATTTAATGTTCGGCTCCGCCCGAACTTAGACTTTCTTACTTGTTATTCTTGTTTCTACTTCAATTGTTTGTCCTTTTTTCTTTCCGTCTGGAAAATGCAACGCTTACTGCCGTCAAGGAATTGGAGCGCTAATGGGGCTTTCGCAAGCGGTGATTTTTCAGGCAACTTTTGCGTTCAACTCATGCAGGGTTGCACAAAGAAAAAATTGAATGGCTAAAAATATTATAATATAAAAAAATATCAAAATATTCGCCAAAAAAATGCGTTCGCATTGTTCAGCTTTGCATTCTACTTTTGGTTGAACGGCGTTTCAACTAATCGCATCCAACAAAGTTGGTCGCCAGCCAACATTTAGCCATCCAACTTTTTTTTCGTGCAACCCTGCGTGAGTTGAACGCAAAAGTTGAATGCAAAATCGTTGCGTTTTCCATTGTCAACGAATGTCAGCGCGCGTTATCCCCAAACCAAAGCGGCGTAATTTTTGACGTTTTTACTTTTTTGTCCTTTCTCTTTCTTTCCGTCTTCTGCATCCAACTTCAACACCTGACGCCCTGTCAAAAATGAAGATTCTATTTGCTCTGCGCTAACGCTGCGTTATTGTGCGATGCGCTTGACGCGTCAATTTAGGGACGGCAGTTAGCGCTACAATTTAGGGACGCCAGTTACGCGTTTATGACAATAGAAATTACTCTCCATTTTTTCACACATAACAAAGCACATTGAACAGGTAGCAGATACATAGGTTTCAAGTTTCTTATCACATAGCAAAAATGCCCGCAACTCCATCGTAATTTTAGTAAACACACTAATTCGTAAGAGAATACGTATAATAACTCACCTTTTCTCAGCCACCGTTACTTGTTTAACTGCTTGAATGATTTTCTTTTAAGAAGAAGAAGCTAGTTTCAGTGCTGCAGAACGGCTGAATTTTATTTGATTTGCAAAAGTTTTATGCATTCAAATCTGCTGGAAATAAAACTCATTCCAACTACGTAGATTGCTGTAATACTTATTAATAAGCACTTTATACGTCCCAGTAATGTTTTTCTTTTATTACAAATTCAATAAATTCTTGTTGTTTTTCGCATTTTTAATAAAATAAACAGATGCATTCCCAAGATCTGCCCATTTTTGATACCAGGCAACCCTGCTGCATTCATTCGATACATAAAGAAAAATACGTCAGTGTTAACTCTTTTGCTGTGCTATCCTCTGAAAAGAAAAGGGCCGATTTACTTATGAGAAGTTAAATAAACTGCAAGATAATTCATTAAAAAAGTAATATTTGATTTTGTGAAGTTAAAAGAAACAGTTTGGATAGTGGATAAATGCAAATTTCTACGTAGAATGTCCAGCGAATAAAGACACGCCGTCGTCTGGGTTTTCTGTTTGCGTTGTAGCGAAAATTCTATGCGGACGCGCCATTTTGAATTTTGTGTATTCATGTTCTCCATATTCTCAAGCGTGTTAAACGGAAAGACCATATAGTGAGTTTATTTTCATTACAAATGAGTGTTAAAACATGAAAGTTACCAAAGTAGTGGGAAGAATCGTTGAATTATAAAAAATTAAATAATGTACATGCAAAAAAAAATAAAAATAGCAAATATGCAAATGTAAACGAAGACGAACACTGCACCCCTTCTACTTCGTGTGTTCTTGATCGTTTTGCGCTCGGTTGCATTTAGAAAGAATGAATCGAAAAGAGGAAAAGAAAATAGCAGACGAATAAATCCATGGAGCTAATTTTCCTGGTTGAAATAATTCAAATGTGCTGTAATTAAGACATTTTTGAAATCGCTGGTGTCAGATTTTAATATAATGGTTATATTTCTGTATATGGTTTTAACCGAAAGTACCAAAAACAGAAAAATTAGCATGTATATGATACGCTTTTCCATGTACATACCCGTCAGTGCGAAATTATCATTTACTTGAGTTTTCATTCATCAAAGTTCAAGGACTGAAAAGTGCTGAAGAAAGATTTTGCCATAACAACGTAGACGCGTCAAATTTTTGATAAAAAATAGCGTTTTTTTAACAAACAAGTCGGCTATGCAGCTTTTAGCTGCCGGCTTTCAAAAGATGTATAAAATACTTGTAAAGTTTTCTAGTTAAGCAAATGACTAAATTGTTACTAAAATACACCCAGCTTATGGTGCGTTAAATGAAGTAAACTCAGCAAAATAAAACGGCGTATGTTAATTTTAAATGTAGGGAAAAATATGAATTGAACCTTAGTATGAGCGTAAAATAAAAATATAAGAAAAAGTTAAAACTTTTCGTTGTAAAGAAAAATACCCGCTAATGACGTCACTCAAGGTCTTCATGCCAAACACAAACACATATGTACCAGCAAAACTATTAAATTTCGTTACGTAGATGCTCTTTTATTTGTTATTATTTTTCGTCTAATAAGAAGTCGTGGCTGACCGATAGTACGAAAGCTGGCGTGTCTATATTGCTTTTGTGTTGACTGAGAACAAATGTGTATACGCAGCAGAAATTACTTAAAAGGGGAAGCAAAAATTTTAAAAATTGGTATATTGGCGAAAAACATTGACTGTTTCAAAAGAAGTGGAGTCTCTTGTCTAAATAACCTAAAATACTCTAAGCAAAGCTACCAAATACAACGTGTTTGTTTTCTTTATTTCTTTTATTTAGACCATGTGAAGGCCACCGGGAGTATCTCAGAAAATATCAAAACAAATTAGAAAAAAAAAACACTGAGTCTTATTGTAATAAAGCGGTCATTGCGATTATCATCACTGAAATAGTTATATGCAGGAAATCCAATTATTTCTAGAGCTTCATAAGAAAAAAGGAAATACCCAAGTGGTAGACGACAGCAAGAAAGTTATTGTCGGCGACCTCGGTCAAAAATACATTGACCATGTCCGTGCAACAATTTTGTTTGCGCTGGAATAATCATCAGCCGAATTTTATTTCGGTATGCTCTTCATTGCTTCATAATGGAACGCTAGTGGATGTAACGTTAGCAGCAGAAGGTCGCCAACTTCAGGCTCATAAGATTGTACTTTCTGCTTGCAGCTCTTATTTTCAAGTAAGTTTTTAAATTATATAAAGTTGTTATTTAACAATTGTCTATTTGGATTTTAAATTATAGACACTGTTTACATCGAACCCCTGTCAACATCCAATAGTGATACTAAAAGATGTGCAGTATGACGATCTTAAAACAATGGTTGATTTTATGTACTATGGTGAGGTGAATGTATCACAAGAGCAGTTACCACATATTCTAAAAACGGCCGAGATGCTTAAAATAAAAGGACTTGCTGAAATGCCCACCGATCCTGCCAATTTAACTAAATCCGAAAATAAATCATCGAATGAGCCCGCCGATCTTGTGGGCAGTGGTAGTACTGGTAGCAATGGTCAAAGCAGCAGCGGTGTAGCGAGCGGTGGCTTGGGTAGTAGTGCTGGTGGTGGCAGCATGAGTGACTCGCTGTGGGAGGTAACTGCTAACTTTATCCTAATAAATATGTATGCAAATAAAATCCTCTTATCAATTCGGTACGAACAACATTGATCTACATAAGGAAAAAACTCATTTGGTCAATCTTGTTGCATTTTTTGAATTGACATTTCCTGTCCAGAAATAAATACTGGTCGTTATGGTTACATAGATAGGTATTAATAAGAGGTGCACATGGCGAGGAAAAGATAATTGTGCTCTCTGCTCTTCACAATACATATGCTTAGTCTAAGGTTCAAAAGACCTTTAACGATATATGTAGATTTTTGTTTTTTTTTTCGTGGCCAAACCCATCAAAAAACTGGTTTTTCTAGTCGCTATAAGATTTCGCTCATAAATTACCGTTTGCAGGGTATATTTGATCACTAAGACTATACTTTACTTTATAGCAGCAGCATCATCATGGACAACATAGCGACACCCAGTTTCAGTCCCATCACCATCAACAACAACAACAACAACAAAATAGTCAAACGCAAACATCACAGCAGCAACAACAGCACCATCAGTTAAGGCGAACTCCGTCGCCATTGGGCTCGGGAGCCTCCCCAGCTACTAGACGAAAGCGGCTTCGCAAATCCTCAAACAATGGTACGTATTCAAAACCTTAAGACACAAATACATGCCATTTATATGCGCTTATTGATGGATGTATCCTTTGTTTGTTATCTGTTGTCTGTTGTATATATTGCTCGGAAAATGGGGTTTCAGAGAAGTATCCGAAGTTTGTTGCTATTTGGGAAACAAAAGAGCAACTAAATCATGCTCATAAAACCATATGCAGTTCAATATAGGTACTCTCTGAAGTCTCGCAAAGCCCTTGCTCGATGCCCGGATTGCATGAATTGCTCGGTAATAACTGGTTTTCCTATGGGGAAGAATTGCAAACCCTGGAACTAATGCACCGTGTAAGAGCTTTGCAGTAATTCGAGAATGCCCTTAATATAAAACTAAGACTACCCAAAACTTTAAATACGCGGTTTATTTAGAATTAGTTTAAATATTTGTAATTGCATGTATGTATCAATACATCATCTCAGTTGTATATATACAGGATGGGCAGTTTTTTGGCTTTTATAGCAGTCAAAGAACCAGCAAGTGCTACGCAAGAAGTAATTCAGTTCTCTGGTTAAATAGGGTGTAAAAAATATATTAAAATCATCATACATATTAATAATGAGAGCCGGAGTACACGAAATTTGAATACGCTCTTCTTCCCTCTTCGTGCTGGCTCTTGTTGTTACCCCTCATCTGGAACATAAATGTGCCAAGCCGGCTCATAAGTGCGAAAGGCTCCTGGGAGCCACTTTGCCTATTTATATACATTATTTCATAACATGTGTTATCTTTTCAGGATCTGGCGATCGCACTAATTCGGAAGAACAGCACAATACGTCATTGGATAGTGGAAACACCGCTGGCGGTATAAGTCTCACACAAATGGGCCAAATGTCGTTTGGCACTGGGACCAGTACTATAAGTGGAATGCCAACTCATTCTCTGCATGCAACAAAATTATTAAAAGAATCGACTAGTACTGATGTGGAACCGCATCCTCATGATGATAGTTTAGACGGTGGTCATGCACATGTTCACATGCAAATTGTAATTAAAAGCAAAAAAAAAAATACTTAACTTTAAGCTCTTTTAATTCACTTACATATTTTTTTAAACTTAACAGAAACCCGAAGTTGATATGACCAGTGTACAGCAATCAATGCCCTTGGACATTTCGGCAGCTACTACTCCTTCAGAGCATGATGCACCAAATTCTCAATCTTCTCATTCTGGTAAGTCGAAAATACTCTTAGGAATTAAATTTAAATTCAATCCAATATTTAATTTAATGTATGATATATGTATATCTGTGTTCGTATGGAAAAGCAGCTTATGTCAAAAGGAAGGCTTTAGTATAATGCAGCATTCGCAGCATACCATAGCGAATGACACATTGGCGCCGAGACGTTAAAGAACTTTTGGCAAATAAACGTGCAAGAAACAGTTCTGATACTAGCATGTAAATATTCTTATTAAGTCTTCTCAAAAAATTCCTTGCCGTTTAAAGAATAAAGGGAATGCCGCATTATACTAAAGCCAGGTTCCCGACATAAGCTACTATTCCATTCGAACACAGATATATGTATGCAGCCTTGAGTCCCTATAGAATAGTTTGTAGAGTGGAAAGAGCAAGTTATTCCTTACAAATTTTCTCATTTCTTAAAGGAAAGTTACACTTTTATAAATAATTATACAAAAGTGCTTTAGAATTTTATCAGAAAAAAGTTTGAAATTTATATGAAAATTTGTTGCACTTTTTTGTAGTATTCTACAAATTGTTAAACTTGGGTTTATATGAGTTTTGTTAGAGAAAGAACTATATTTTAATTGAAAATTCTTAAAAATAAATAAATAAACATAAGTGGCACACAATATCACTTTGAAATGGCGTGCTATAGATATGACCGATACTGTATATTGAACCGAAATACAAGTGTTGTCAAGTGCTTGCTTTCGATTTACATTAGGAGTATTCTCCAAATCTTGCAAAGCCATTGCACGTACCACGGTTTGCATGGATTGCATAACTTGCAAACACACAAGAACAAAATACATGGGAAACAAAATTTCCTATCGCTTCAAAATATGCAACGTCGACACCCATGTATTTATTTTGCAAAATAGCATAGCGAGATAAATGAGACCCTGTGCTAGTTGTTTTGTTGTGGAATTGCTACATATTTCTCTCATTTTTTTATTTAGTATATTTATTTATTTATTTCAGTCTTGGAATACAGAATATTCTTACAGACTACTCAGCTAACATTAATTAAGTGCTACTAAAACTTAAAAATTAAGATAAGTTTTAAATACATTAAGTTCACAAGAGCTAAGATTAAATACATCGCTAGTGGTATAGCGCAGAGAAAAATGTTCGCAGATGAGTAACCAAGGCAGGGCCTGACTGTGAGAAATCAATGTCCAAAGCGTTGAAGACTAGGTTAAGTTCAGCACACGTTCTAGAGATCGGAGCGTTGGCACCATAACTGCTTCTAGAGAAACCTATAATCATTTTTATTGTATTTGATACATAATTTCGCTGCTTGCTACCCATGCATGCTACCACTTTGCAATGGGGTGCTCTCGTACTCTTCGAAATTTGGAATAGTAGTTTTGCATTTCGTGCAATCCGTGCATCGTGCAAGACTTCGAGAATACCCCTATTTTATTTTGCATATCTGGACCATCCTAAAGGAATACATAACTCTTCATACATGTTACTACACATCACTTCACTTGAACCGAAGGTGATATCTTGATGACTTGTGTTTTGAAGTGCTCTTAGGAACCCTGTCGGGATTCCTTTGTAGTTCAAGGATATCTCGTTGCCTTGATGGTCTGCAGTGGAATTTACACAATCGCTTTGCTACATTTACCTCGCAAACATTTTTTAAATGAAAAGCAGTGGGTCCTTAAAATGCTCAACTTGAAATAGTAACAGATACGATTTGTAATCAGTAGACTGCGGAGTTTTTCGCTGAAAACGAAGCCTGAAACTATGTATCACTTAAGTATAAGCAAAATCTATAAATTTGTATACATTTTGTTTATAGTTATGTGGTACATATTTTTAGGTTTCGTTTTCTGCATAAACATCCGCAGTCTAGTAATCAGCCAAATCTGGCAGTATTAGGGACATGTAACTAGATGTTGCATGTTGCATGGCGCGCCTGCTCTACTTTTACGAGATTTTCGTCCATCAAAATTAGCGATAGCGAATGTTGGAGTCCGACTGCTAATTTGTAAAGCCTATAAACACAGGGTTCCCCTCAAATGAATTTTCCTACATGAAAGGATTACGTATTAGGGGGCTGTATAAATGGCTTTGAAAGGGCAATCAAAAGATTTGCTCATTTCGCTATACTTCACTTTTGTATCCCATTCAATTTTGGTCTAATGAAGTGCAAGTTTCAAACGGTGCAAGTTTCAAAAATCCCGTTGATTTTGGAGAATATTTTTTTTCTTTTTTATGGATTTTTGCATTTTTTCCACGTAAGCATATAAATTTCAAAGAAACCCAGTTTATTGCAAATTGCACTTGTTATATATAAAAAAAAACGCAAAATCAGCCTCAAAAAAAGCTTCCTCAAAAATCAATCAATCACTTCACTTAAAATTCAGTGGGCTACAAAACTGCAAACTCGAAAATTTTCTAGAAATTCGGAATAAAAAATTTAAAATTTTGATGTTAATCTTTTGAATTTTTGTTTAACTTTACGTAAAGTGTGAAACTTTGATATATGGTTTATATTATAGAATAAACTATATTTTCATAAATGGTTAATGCAAAAAATGTTTTATGAAAATAATTCTGAATATTATATTAGAACAACGTGTACACTTTCATTTGTCGCCTAGTGTATATCTATCAATATTTTGTTAGTTTAATTCCACATGGAGGTCTTTTCAGATATCGAGAACTGAACAAGGTCTATAAAGAATTTGCCTGCCAAAAAATATTTTACTTTACATGAAAAATACTTAAGAAATAAAGCATCGCCCTTGGGCATGGTGAAATTATAACGGATGATGTAATAAGAGCAAGAAGAATGATTTTAGACGAATCTTATTTGGAAATATGCCTTAAAATATTTCTATAAGATAGACATATGTATGTCAAGAAAATAAAGTGATAAGCTGGCCCCCTGGTAGGCAGTGGAATACCTCAAAGTGTATTTCTGTCTTGAAAAAGCTTTCCATAAAACGTATTTGCCGTTCGGAAGCGGCGTAAAATTGTAGCTACTCCATTTGTGTAACAACATCAAGCCGCACCCTGCAAGTTGGAGAAGAATCTCGGCCAAACTCTTACGCAAAAGCGTAAGCGCCAAAATATTATGATTTTATTACTTTGACTAT